ACACACGGCTTTGCTTTAAGGAGTTAAATCAAGGCACAACAACTGAGAAACATGAAATAAGTAAGGGATAATGTGCACGGAGGCGCTCATTATTGATAAAAGAACACCCGGCGCTTAACACAGCTAAATACTAAACAAACAAACAACTTGACTGGTTTTGACTTATTGCTTCCACTAATAAAGAAATACTCAGTTCCACGGCGTACTAACAGCTAGAACTGAGGCAACAACAACGTAATTTAAAATGACGACAGCACTGATCGAGGTTTTCTGTAACTGTCCAAGTCAGTTCATAGTTTCTGTTCCACTAACAAGTCCTAAACACTGCAGAGCCCATACCGGGTTCCGGTTAGTGTTTACTTCCTGTCTGTCTTCTTCTGGTGATCCCTCTGACGTCCAGCACTCCGTCTTTAACCTCTTTCCTTCTCTCCCTTGATCCTCCTTAGCAACGGTCATTATTTTGCTTAGCAGTGGTGGGTTATCATGTATTAACAACCTCTGAAATGTCCAAATTGCCACATCAAAGTCAAATATTCAACCAAGCCGCGTAATCATCTAGCATATTCCTTGTGGCTGGGGCTCGACATTATAAATGGCCCACTGGCCCAGAAGCACTATTTAGACACCCTGGGCCAGCAGGGGGTACAGCATAACGTACTTTCCACTTGCCCGCTCGGGCCACTAAAAATATTGCTTTAAAAAAAAAATTGACCTGTGGTATTGGTATTTTGACAAGCAATTTTGTTAAATTGTTTCGTTTATTAACGCTACAACATAGCGTTTCGTGAGGCGGTTGTTGTTGTTGTTGGGTGAAAAGCAAACAGCTGTTTGCTGCGGAGTAGAGCGCAGCGTGAGCAGGCTCCCACGTGAGCGCGCTCCTTCACTACTGACTTTCGCGCCACCTAACCATTCGCCAAAATATTATTATATGAATATAATGAAGGTTCTAATAGGCTATTACATAGCCATTATATTTCTAACTCCTGATAATGACAGGAAGGCAGAAAGCGCATTATACAAATAATAATACTCATAATAAGGATAATAGCAATGATTTTAACAATGACCACAATATCATTATTTTATTAAACCAAATATGAACAATTGAGGAAAATGAGGAAGAACTGATGATTCAAATGTTGTAGTACAAGTAGTAATGTAGTTTGTGCATAAATTACTATTGCAACAACAAATGTGTGTCATGGTTTTGGATTTATGTTGTTTTCATTTTCCACCTTTTTTATTTTGAAATGTTTTCCTCCTTGTGTCTTGTCTGGTCCTACTTCCTGTGTTTGCCTTCCTGTCGTTAGTTTCCCTGGTGTGTCTGATTGTGTTCACCTGTTGCCCTTGTGTTTCTGCGTCCCCTGCCCAGCTGTGTCTTGTCCTGTGATTACCCTTCTGTGTATTTAGTCTTGTCTTCCCCTGTGCTCCATGTCTGTTTGTCGTCGTTTCATGTCCCTGCTACCTGTGGTCTCTTCTTGTCCGTGTTCCCTGCCTCGCCTATGCTAGTCTATGCTTGTCCATGTCTCCTGCCTGTTCCCGTCTGTAAGTTTATTCCTGTCTGTCGTGCTCCCCGGTTTTGTTTATGTTAATTAGTTTCTTGTTTTTCCTGTCTTCGGCTTTTTTTTAATAAAGCTCGCTTTTTGTTACCAAACCTTTTTAGTAATTTAACTGCACTTGGGTCCTAATTTTCCCCAACCTGACAATGTGTTCATTTTCTTAATTATTAGTCGATTTTCTTGACGAATGCTCTTGGGCCAGTGGTTACAATGGTGGGGCCAGTGATAATGATGTTTTACTCTTAATGTCTACCCCTGCTTGTGGCAGTTATCAAAGTACATTTCTTGTTCATACGTGGCTACAGAATTAGAAAGATAATACAAAGAAAGACAAGAAAAAGCCAAGGAGGGTGTGACTAATCATCACAGGCAAATGGTTACCTTGTTGGCACATGCAGGTATGAAAGGCATGCATGCTATGGGCTGCTAGCATACAGCATGTCTACATGAATGATGTAATATATGTATGTATTGTGTGGGTGTATGGTGTAAAAACAACCAGGTTTATACAGAGTTATGGACAAAAAAACTTAAAACAACCATGGTGTAGAAAGGGCCAAGAAACATGTCAAATTGGAGAGTGGGGGTTACAAATACCATCTGGGGGGGGTCTGAGAAGGGGGAGATGAGTGGGCACACACACACACACACACACACACCAACCAAAGGAGTGAATGAATGAAAGGCAGGACTGTGGAATGGAGGGAGTGAATGGGTAAGACTGAGGACATTTGAGGATGAAAACTGATGTTTCTTTCACACACATGGGGAAAGGTGACACTCATTCAAGTCACAAAGAACAACCACAGGCACAGAGATAGAATCCAGTGTGCTTTGCTGTTCCACATAATTAAACTGCTGCACTGATGAACGCCTTTATCTGTGGAGTCCAAGTGAAACTTCAGCAGTGTAACCTGTAGGAAACTTAAATTCCTGATAGGTGAGATATTAACTCTTAAATCAACCATTGACTTCAGCATTAGCTTGCATACAATGTTGGCAAAGAGATATCAAATGTGGACAGGCCTGCTCTGAAACACAGTCTGATGCCTGAGATCGGTTCCGTTCAGATGATAAAGGTTTTTATGCAGAAATAAAAACACTTATCTTGGTTTAAGACTTTAAAAAGCCTTTATTTGATGATATAATCGGTCAAAGAATTAAAGCTTTCAGCAGCCGGATATATCTTCACAAATATTGGATGGACCAGTGCAGATACCCACGTTCCCCACATGATGAACTGAAATGAATTTAGTCTAGTCTTTAGATTATTAGTGAAAACGCAATATCGCATATCTATCATTTTTATCAAGGGACTGAATTAAGAAAAAACAGGCTGTGTAGTTTAGTTGACAAGTGGTTGAATGGAGCGAACATTTATGAGCACACTGCCAGTGAATGAAAACCAGGCCAAAAGGAATGGCCTGTATGTCGTTAATGGCAGTCCTCCTGACATATCATCTATTTCTCAGCCGTGGGCTCTGTGGTAATGTGATCAGTAGTCTGAAGCAGCCACTCTGTTCCCTGCTGGTTTCACTTCAGCTCTCCGCTGTCCCTTTAAACACTTCCTTCCCCTGTTACCATAAAGCTGCTAGAAGAGCCTCACTGCAAAAGTCACATGCTCCAGCTCCCTTTGTTTCCCATAGAAAGCCTCTATCTAACTGTCTGTGCACGAGAGGGGCTGGAGACAGAGACAAGTCATATATGAGGTGACATGAAGTGGATCAGAACTACTGTTGGCTTCAGCTGTCCAAATGATGTGTCCCTCTCTGTGTCTGCAAGATATATATAAATATATATATATATATAAATATATATATATATATATAATGTTTGACAACACTCTTGCTCACATTTGGAAACACGTTCAAACAATGAAATAAGAAGAGATGTTGATACAAAAAAGTTCCCTCAGTGTCTTGTTCTGACATGCATATGCTATAGATAACATGCTTGAGTAATACACAATTCGTAAAATGAAGACAATTAAAAGGTGTAGTTGTAAGATTCAATCGCATAACAAAACTACATTGTACTACATTTGTGAAGTGAAAAGGTCAACGAAAAGTAAACATCTGGAAGTATCAATTCAGTTAAAGATAAATGATGAATCCACTATTTGTGATCCCTCACAGCAACACAGTGTGGATGTGTTGTGACTGCAGGCTCCACAGAGGACTAACTCTCTGCAGGCATTACGGTAGTCTACCCAATAGCTCAGGAGGAATTCCAGGAATGTGAAAAGCTCCTATTCATATTGAAACTAGATTAAAAGTTCATAACTGAACAGTAAATGCTGGTTTTAACTTAAGCAACCCAATGCATGGCTTCATGCTCTGATTGATAAGCTGTGTTTCAAAGTAATGTATTCATATATGCTACGGTCCTCTTTTCATTCTTAATAACGCAGCAGGGATGTAGGCTCCATATAAAGCGGTGCTGTCAGTAGATAAAGCCCATATTGATTATGTGAATGACTATACTACGTCAAAGGACTTTGATAGGGTTATCAATAACAATGTCAACTGAACTTTTCTCCACATGAAAAGTTATGCCGACATCTGCCTAGTAACAGCAATTCCTCCCATTGGTGAAACTCCAGTCTCCTCCTGTTTGTGTGTGTGTGTGTGTGTTAGAACTTTAAACTTTAGCATTTTCCCTTCATGTTGTAATTTGAACCAGTATTTTTCCTGTTAAATATATCTATATATGTTATATATCTATAACATAGATCGATCCCCTTTTGACATCAGAAAGTTAATATGCAAACAGTGGGGTTCCCATTTACAGATGTTGACTCACCAGTCCTCAAACAAGGACTTTTTAGACCTCAGACTCACATTAGATCAGTGGTGAGGGAGCCACATGGTGACCTTTATGTTCATTGAACTACATTACAGAGCTTCTGGTGCACAACAATTCACTTTCTTTCATTAATGTATAAATGACAGGTAACTGGGTAAATAGGTAGCTGTGTCTGTGACATATCCTGAGACTTTATCCTAACCTGTCCCCTGTGTTATTTGGAGTAGCCTACACATGAATGGAGATAGATAAAGCAGCAGCCCACTGTGTGTTTCACACTGCGCTATTGTCCCATGTGCTCACCTCATGTTCACTCAGTTTGTAGAAAGAGCTTTCATTGAGTGTTGGGGAAAAGGAGGAAGAAGGGGTGTGAGCCGTTATCGCCCCCTACCGACACCAAGCTGCCACCCTCCCCCCGGTCAGCAGCTCCTCTCCACCGGGGACTCTGAGCCATGGACCTCCCACCACCTTCTCAGAAGCTACCAGGCTATAGGAGGAGGGGGCAGTGGCGGCAGAGAGTGGGGGGGGGGGGACATCCCCTCTCTCTCTTTCCTTATATATATATGTATATAATAGAATCCCTTCCTCGCGCGCTCCCTAGCAGACTGCCAGTCTCTTTGATCCCCCCGCCTCCTAACAACAGCTGACGTCATCGCGCTCCACCACCTCCTCCTATTCAGCGCGCGCTCGCTGACAAACTTTGTGTGTGTGTGCGTGTCTATGTGTGTATATCTGTGTGTGTGTCAGTACGTGCGCGAGTCAGGGCTTTTTGTCTCGCGAAGGGAAGCGTTCTGAGCTTCAGACGGCTCGCGCACACCGGAGGAGCAACAGCTCGCAGCAGCAGCGAGGAGAAAGAAAGTGATTTAAAATTATTCAAAATTAGAGCAATATATCCTTCTGTGTGCTGTAGCCTGCTCCTTCAGTAATAGAGGGACATTTGTATAGGGCGATACTAAATCTTTAATAAACGGCGGAGATAATATTACTAGGTGAAGTACTATGGAGGACCAGCTGCTGTGCTGCGAGGTGGACTCCATCAGGAGAGCCTACCAGGACGTGAACCTGCTGAACGACAGAGTTCTGAACACCATGCTGAAAGCAGAGGAGAACTACCTACCGTCGCCCAACTACTTCAAGTGTGTTCAGAAAGAAATTGTGCCCAAAATGAGGAAAATAGTTGCCACCTGGATGTTAGAGGTGGGTCTTACTTCCCTTTAACTTTCAACTTCAGTGCCGCTGCTTACTTGTTGCTAGTCTCGTTATTATCTGTGTATAACGTTAGCTTAGAACAGGATGAAAGGTGTTTAAAGCTGATGTGTGTTCATTTACTGCATGTTACATAAACGCTGTGAAGTCCTCATGAGTGCTGGGTGGTCCTTCGGCTATAAGAGGAGATATTGCCTCGAGACTGCATCCCTTTCCACCATGAATACATTTTGTATTGATTATGTTTTAGCCGGCTTCTTCCATAAGGTTATGAAATGTAATAACATGGGGGAAATATTCCAAAATAACAGCAATGTACACGTATGCAGTCTGGCCCGTGCCAGTTACGCGCCATCTTTGTTATGAGAAGGATTTTAATAACATTAAAAATCTATAACATCAGGAAGAATGACAGTAAGTCTGTTAAATGGTTTAGAAATGCATGTATATCACAGGACATGGTAAGAGTGTCTGCTGCAGTGTGTTTCTCTGAAATCGGATGGAAAACTTTGTTCTGCTGTTAAAGAGCCGCTGCTCTCTGTGAAGGTCGCTCCGGAAAAAGGACATTTTGTAAAAGGGCAAAAGTATTAAATACATTTTAACAGTCGGATTTGATAGAATATGTGTTTATTAACATTACCATGAACTTTTGGATGTAATTCATTGCAGTTTTATATTTTGTTTTAATTTTTGAAATTGTGCATCGGAGAGCCGAGAGGAAGTGTCGCACAGCACGTGAAGAAGACCAGTCAGAGAAATGTATTTATTTTAAATTCAAATGTGTCTGAATTCGACATATTCTAATCACATCCGATCAGGCATATGATAGGGATCATTTACATGATAATTACACACACCCTGGTAATTTTTAAATATTTCTAAATATTTAATGAAAAGATGACGAAGTTGAAATTGCAGAGGCTAACTTGCATCGACGCCACCTTTGTGTCTCCGTCAGAACTGACTGCACGCTATTTCCACACTCTTTTCTTTAACTACAGAACTCTGAGGCCTACTTACTTTAATACAAAAAACACATTATTATTTAGAATGTTGTATGCAACACGTGAATTCTCTTTACCTTGAACAGCGATTCAAACGGAATATTTAAACCTCAAACTTGAGGTAATACATGCATCAAATGTTCACTTCTTGTTAATGTATTTGTTGGATGATTGTGCCTAGCATGGCGATTGAATGCAAACAGCTGTGCGGAATAAGATAAAGTCGGGGGGGGGGGGGGGCGGGCAACACTAAACAATGCATGTGAATGGGGATTTTTCTTCCAGCAAACTCTTAAGTGCTTTTCTCATCTCCTAGGTCTGCGAGGAACAGAAATGTGAGGAGGAGGTTTTTCCGCTGGCTATGAACTATTTGGACAGATTTTTATCAGTGGAGGCCACCAGGAAAACAAGACTACAGCTGTTGGGAGCTACATGCATGTTTCTGGCATCCAAGATGAAGGAAACCGTGCCCTTAACGGCGGAGAAACTGTGTATCTACACGGACAACTCGGTGCACCCTGGAGAACTGCTGGTAATTGACTTCTGCAGACATGGATGTTGCATAACATGTACAGTAAACTACATAAGCAGTATGCAGGGCAAAGCACATGACCAGAACACACATTTTGTGTGATTTGTCAGTGTCAGCATTATGGCAAAATCTAAATATGTTATTGATTAGACATAGAAAGATTATTGGGTTGGAAAAAGCGTAAATGTACGTTTGGTGCAGCAGTGCCTTAATGGCTGTCTGAGACTTTCCCATGGTGACTGGAAGGCCTCTCTCATTTCATGAATGGTCTCAGTGACTGCCAACAAAACACGCACTGACTCACAGCGACACCTAGTGGCCGTGAGACAGAGGTGCAGGCTGTTGGCAATGACAAAGTGAACATGAAGAAGTGAAGACACACTCTGCTTTTGTGTTTGCTGTGACATGTTGTGTATGTGCAGCTGTTTCCATTGCTTATGTTTGGGTTACTTCATAATATAATCATATTTAAATGTACAGATCCTTTGTGTTTACACACAACAAATACAAACATTATTATTCTTAAAAAAGATATGCATTTATTGTTTTGATATATTTTCTTTTATTTATTTGTACATATTATTAAAATATTTCTTGATTTTACTATTATTGATGGTACTGTGCATATATATAATACGTATAGGCAGTTAAGTATGCAGCACATTTCAAAAAGTTTGAAAAAAATCAAGGAAAAGGATCTGTTTCTGCAGCTTTTATAATTACATACTAATAATGATAATAATATGAATTATTTTAGCACTTTTCACAGCGCGAAAATAGTCGTAAATTGCATATAAATGTATTAAAATGCATTACTGACAAAGCCGAAATCTGGGGTATTTTGACCTCTACAGTGATACAAAGACAGCTGGTAACATGAACTAGGATGCTGTCAGAGATGTAAGCTATACACATACAGCTTACATCACCACATATAAGAACTGAGTGGTGCTAGCAGGCCAAATGACCAAATGATGAGAAAGGAGGAAACATTGTTGTGTACTATAAGTGGGTCAGTGTGAGTGAATGCCTCTGGTCTGATCCATCCACAGCAAATGGAGCTGCTGGTTCTCAAGAAGCTGAAATGGGACCTGGCTTCAGTCACGCCTCACGACTTCATCGATCACTTCCTGTCCAAGCTGGAGATCTACCCAACCACCAAACAGATCCTCAGGAAACACGCGCAGACCTTCGTGGCTCTCTGTGCTACAGGTACGACACCGGCCTTAATACGGCTCATGTCTCCTCAGTATACTGAGACTTATTTATACATTTTCTACACTTCTTGATCTGTTTTAGTATTTCATTCCCTGTTTCCTCTGTAGTTAGTTGATCTTTCCTGTAGCCAATTAGAACTCAAACAGATTTGTGCCGTTCCCACAGATGTTAACTTCATTGCCAGTCCTCCCTCCATGGTGGCGGCGGGCAGCGTGGTGGCAGCTGTTCAAGGTCTCTACCTGAAGAGCCACGACGCCTCCTTGTCCTCCCAGAACCTCACCAACTTCCTGTCACAGGTTATTCGCAGTGACCCGGTATGCAAACATACATTGTTCTAAACCCAAACCTATATTTGTATGTGCACAGATTGTTAGTAGTATGAAGCTGTTTGCTCAGTGTTTCCTCTGTGATTGCAGGACTGCCTGCGGTCGTGTCAGGAGCAGATCGAGTCCCTGCTGGAGTCCAGCCTGCGGCAGGCTCAGCAGCACAGCAGCTCCACGGAAACCAAACGTGTGGACGAGGACGTGGACCTGTCCTGCACCCCTACAGATGTCAGAGACATCAACATCTGAAATGACTGACCAAGGTGTTGTGTGATGACCTGATGATGGAGGGAACGTTGTCGACAGAGGGTGGAGATGGCGGGCTGACCTCAGCCCCCCCCCCCCCCTCCTTCTTCCTGGTGGGCTGCTATCATGGCCGACATGTCACTCACATGCCCGCTGTCCGCTACGTCGGCCAAGAGGGTACCGAGCCCCCCGCCCTGCAACAACTCCCATGTCGCATTTCCTGCCAGTGTCCCCTCCCTCTCTGGGGAAATAAATGAACACTACAGAAATGTACAAGAAAAAAGACACGGAATGCTGATGGCCTGCGTGGGCTGGAGCTGAAGCCACACAACTATTTAGTAGATCTTTTCTCATTCCCTCACATATAAAAGTAGGAATCTTGAAATGACCGCTGACCCAACATCCCAAAGTGTCATGTACAGTAGGACCTTGTTGTGTCTTCAGGTCTGAATATGAAATCTGACTTTTGTTAAAGAGACTTTTTATTTTTCATTTCTCTATTCGTATATCTAATGTTTTGACTTCCTGTCCAAGCTCCAATGTTTGTATTGTTGCAGTGCAAACATTCATTTATCCCTGCTTGCTTATGTTTAGTCACTTTATGATATATAATTTTAGATGTATTTTTTCAATTAGTTTTATACCTCTTTTCTGCCAAGCTTTTGTGTTTTAAACCAAGTGTAGTGTAAGAGGCTGTGTTTCAGTGGCCTGCTGGTGTTGAGGCTGGAGGAGATCCACGAGCAGAGTCATCCACAGTCTGCTGTTCTTCTCTGTGTAGTTCAACCGAAACCATTCCAACTGTCAAAAAAAAAAAAGCACTTTTGGTCAGCACTGCTGGTCGCCTAAAAAATCACAGTGATTACGTTTGTAAAACAAAATATAATGGGGGGGTGGAGCAGGGGTCTCTTGGCGATGAAGAGTCAGAGCGACAGCTGCAGAATATTTTCATCTAATGGAAGAAGAATTGCGCTTTATGGCAGAAACAAGACTAAATGCTGCTTGATACTGCCATGGGACTCAGAGCCCACGGCTTTCTGGAGCTGCCAACAATCTGAGTTTGAGTTCAACCCATGTTCCACACGCTGCTCTAAATTCAAGTGAGGAGCCAGAATCTGAAGGTCCAGTCCAAGCAAAAGGAGTATTCTTTTTATAGTCAAAATGATTCTTCCTTTTATATAGTTAAACATATTATTTATTGTTTCTTTAAGCCTTCATTTTCTAGTTTTCAGACTCTGTGTCTCCACCTCCTGTTGAACTATCTGCCTCCAGAGCAGCCAGAAATATGATTCCAACTAAAACTCTGCTCTGCTCTTCATCGTCTCCTCGCTCACGCTACCTCAGTTGAAATACCGCTCATGGAATCGTGGAAGGCATGAAGCTAAAAGAAAAAGAAGAGGAGTGTTGAGACTATGATTTTGCACAATAATAAAAGACGCAGGCTTCGTTTCTTGGGGACTTGCCTAAAAATTGTGGAGAGCACAGCAGGCAAGCTAACCGAGGGGTGCAAAGGCGGCAACAAGGGGCAAAAGGGTGAAGGCTCAACAGGGAGGGGTGTCTTAATGCTGTAGAGTTCCAGGGTTCCTACACAGGACAGCACAGCTTCCACCACCAGCTTGATGTGAGCTTTATGTGATGATGGACACATGAGTCAATGCAGGAAGGCTCTCTGCAAAAAGTATTCTGGAAGTCACGGTGTGTAGGAACTCTGTACACGAGGTTTCTGATTGTACATTATGGATAGAGAGTAGGAGAGAAACACTCCTTGTAATCCGCTGCTATAGAAAAATGAATCCCAGCTACGTGTTTAAAAGAAAAAACAGATGACAAAAAACGTAATGAATTAAAAATGATGCTTTTCTCTTGTTGTTTGCTGCTACATTTTTGGTGTTTTTTATACATATACATGTCAATATACTGCCATTCTAGGTTTGAATTTTCTCATAGAAAATTGTTTTATTGACATCCTCATTTGTTTTGTTTATGTAGATTCTATGTGATCTGTTTTTTTGTTTATAATTTCATATGATTTTCCGAAATATTCCAAAAAACAAGGAAAATGAGACAATGTACAGAAATGCTTTGATCCATAATACCTCATGTGACAGTCAAGATCTATCTCTAATTTGTAGTCTTTATATTTGTTTAGTCCTTATTCTATTCTACTTTGGGTTCAGTGCCTACTAGCTCTGTTCAACCTGCTTGAGAGGAAGCATTGTGATGGAACGTCCAGGGCATGCTCTGATACTGGTGCCATAACAGAAAATGGGATGTGTATAACTCTGTTGAGTGTTAAGCTGTCTCGTGAAAGAGACTTTATCCCCCTTTAGGCCCATAGTGGCCCCTTTTTATATTTATAAAAAAAGCTTTTTGCTCCAATTTTCAAACTGTCAGTGAGTTGATATGAGTTTGTAAATAGATTCAGTGTCGTGCTCGGTAAGCCATAGACTGTTTTTTGTTACAAATCATTCCACACAGTTGTGTACTTCATGCCAGTTGTCTGCAACCCTTGTCGACTACACAATAAAAAGATGAATTAGATGGACTACGGCTGTCTGTTCTTGGCGACAAAAGAGCAAACCTCTTCACACCATGTTGTTGAACACCTTGCTAATGTAGTTATAGTCATGGGCGTCACTTTGTAAGAAAAACTTGTGGGGACATTTTTCAGATTTTTTTGAAAACGTGTGCAGTCCCTATGCTACACTGCAAGCACTCTCTATTACATTATTACTAATATTAAACGTGTCGCACTTTGGTTACCAGAAATACTCCCAAAAAGTGTGAACAGTCCACCCAATTGTACATGTTCTCAAAGTGTACAATTATTTGTGCAAGCTACTTTCAGAACATTTTTAACAAATCATCCTAATGCAAAGTGGTGGGGACATGTCCCCAGTATAAATGACGCATATGGTTATAGTAATATTTAATTAAACATTTATTGAAATGTTTGCTAAGCAATAACCTTAAACAGTTTATTGATGTAGTTAAGGTCAATTTTACTCCAACAGAGGAATGGAGTGCTTTTTTTGAGGACTATTTTCAGCCACTGATTAATACGCAACTGGTCATCTATAGTGAGAATTGTTAGCAGCGCAACGTGTGCATGAAACTGAAAAAAGTAAACAACCGACAGTAATGAGGGAATATGGTTCCCGGCTCCAAATTTGTTTAACTTACACCTCATTATAAATTAAACAGGATTTGATCAAATATGACAGGCAAATGACACAATACAAATACAAGAGGTTTCAAGATTTCCATTCCGAAATGTATCATCAAAATCAAAAGCATTAAAATTGTTTTTTCTTTTCATCCCTTCTTCTTGCATGTGTCTGAAGAAAAAGACAACACCCACACAGATACACACACTGCTACACACACTGCTACACACACTTCTCCCCAGAGCTTGCAGCTCAAAGACAACATGATGCAGTTTAGTGTTGTGTTTATGGCTTCACTGTGCGTGTTTCGTTCTCTCCTATTTCCAACATCAATCATGATAAGACTGGATTCTCATAAGTAGCCTATAACAAAAGGTATATATTTGTTTAGACTTCAAATCTTCTAAGAATCAAAAAGCAGTTGTACATTGTGCTGCAGACATTGAGCTTTCAGGGAATACTGACCTATGACTGTCAACAGTTTCCAAAAATGGCTTGGTTAAATTTCCTACACCAGTTCTGTCTGTGCCACACTACACTCGGCACACAATCAGCACATATAAGGAGGCTCCATTCTCCTGGGTTTGAGCCTCTCAGCCCAGGTACCTGTACCCCTCTGACAGACAGAATGAAGCCTCCTACACCTACAGCTTGTGTACAGGTCCGATTGAGAGAAGCCAGGGCCTACCTAACTGTTGATATAAGCGTCCGCAGCTGTGCTGTTGGTGCTCTGAAGCTTATGTTAATCCTGCCGATGTCGCAGTCATTTTCGTAGCAAGTGTTATGCTGCTCTCAACTCTGGGACATTGTAATGCTGGTAAGCCCACCTACTGCTCCACCACACCAGCCTCCTGTTCCTGTTGGCGATGGGTCACCGGTCCAACCCTGCTCTCCCTAGCCAGATTTCTCAGGCACTCGAGCGATACGAACGTGGAGGAAACAGAACACAAAGATCTTGTCCTCATTGGCAAATCTTAGGACCTGCCTGAGATCTCCAGGTGCAAATCAATTGCTGGCCTGGAACACCTGCCTCATAATTGTAACCTTGAGGGGCCAGAGAAACCTGTTCTAGCTGCAAAAAGATTATCTTGTATTACATGGATGATGTTAGCATAGCCACTGAAGTCATTATGACTAAACAATGTCAAAAATAAGAGCCCAGAACTAAATAATACTTAATTTAAGAATGTGTTACGGGAGGGATAATGTGCAGTGCGGCGGGAATTCATAAAAAAAGAACACCCTGTCTGTCTTCTTCTGCTGTTCCCTTTACTGTTTACTTCCTGTCTGTCTTCTTCTGCTGTTCCTTTTAGTGTTTTTTTCCTGTCTGTCTTCTTCTGCTGTTCTCTTTAGTATTGACTTCCTGTCTGTCTTCTTCTGCTGTTCCCTTTAGTGTTTACTTCCTGTCTGTCTTCTTCTGCTGTTCTCTTTAGTATTGACTTCCTGTCTGTCTTCTTCTGCTGTTCCCTTTAGTGTTTACTTCCTGTCTGTCTTCTTCTGCTGTTCTCTTTAGTATTGACTTCCTGTCTGTCTTCTTCTGCTGTTCCCTTTAGTGTTTACTTCCTGTCTGTCTTCTTCTGCTGTTCTCTTTAGTATTGACTTCCTGTCTGTCTTCTTCTGCTGTTCCCTTTGTCACTACCCGATCTGCATCCCTGCCTGACCTGCATTGCGCATGTGCGAGATGGTCCGCCATATTGGACAACTCCGTACGCCAACCCAAATCGGACACTTGACGTCTAGACGGCTGACCAATATGCAAATATGCTTTGCGCATGCGCAAGTTTTCAACTTAAACGGATGCACGATTTGCATTGCATCTGACAGACTGAAGACTTTTATATTTTACAACAATTTGAGAGAATACATGTCTAAAGGTGATTATCTAATAACAGAGATTTGTTCTTGAATCAACTTTTTTATGGAAAATCTTTCATGTAATTTTATTTAATTTTAAATAAAATGAAAGACATTCACAGTTAATGTAATTACATATACATTATTAATGCCATACATTTTTGCATACATTCACAGTAAATATTTATTCAGTATGATAGCTGTCTAACAGAAGTTAAATCCATTTCTCACTTATTCTGACAATGTACTTAACCCCAAATAAAAGAACCCAATAAAAAGAGTTGTTAAATAATAGTGAAGTCACGTTGTAATAACAATAACTGACGTTGTAAAAATAACAATAACTCATCTCTCTCGGTTTTTTTTGTGCTTTGCCAAACGCCACTGTGTCAAGTGTCCTATTTGGGTTGGCGTACGGAGTTGTCCAATATGGCGGACCATCTCGCACATGCGCAATGCAGATCGGGCAGGGATGCAGATCGGGTAGTGACACCCTTTCGTGTTTACTTCCTGTCTGTATTCTTCTGCTGTTCCCTTTCGTGTTTACTTCCTGTCTTTCTTCCTCTACTGTTCCCTTTACTGTTTACTTCCTGTCTGTCTTCTTCTGATGAAACAAATGTTTGTTGTCCACCGCTGACGTTAAATTGACCGAACTTCTTTGTGCACAATGATATGACTGCACATAGTCCATTAACCTGTTGAGCCCCACGGCCAAAAACGCAACATCGGCAAGAAACAGCGTCTGAGGGCTTCTTAACATTTAACAACCTATTAATGTGTCATACTCACTTAACGGGAAGAAACTCAGCTAACTGACGATATAAACAATTTTTACCGAAACAAAACACAACTCTAACGCCGAGCCTCTGAATTAGCCCTGAGAGAAAAAATGCTAACGCACTTAGCACAGAACTCACGGTAGAAATATTTTATTACTTATCGGATCTGCACAAACAAGATTAAAGCTGAGATTCCACAGATTCTAGAGGGATAAGTATCATCACTGTGCGACCAAAACTCGCGGCAGTTCAGGCAAACCCAGATAACATACAGCGTAGCTTTACTGAGCCAAAACGGTAAATATGTCTTACCTTTGCTGTTTTTCTGATCAAAAGTTGTGTTCAATGGCATTAAAACGATAACAACGCTGCTGAAGGTTAATACAATGTGTCTGTGTCACTTTGAAATGATTACTGATAATCCATCATTCTATTTTTGTCAAAAACGGAGATTTCATATTAGCTGCTACAACCAGGGCCGGCCCGCCGCACTGGTTTTATAGATGTTCGCCTAGAGCAGCGGTTTTCAAAGTGTGAGGCGCGCCTCCCCTGGGGGGCGCCAGAGAGCTTCAGGGGAGGCGCAGCGTGAGGAAAAAAAGAACGAGAAAAAGATTAATAAAGTGACACTTGCCCACTTTTGGCTGTCTGTGGAGACCGAGTTCTCCCACCTCGCCAAAAAGGCTGTAACAGTGCTCATTCCCTTCACCTCCACCTACCTGTGTGAGTGGGGGTTTTCCGCATTGACTTTGATCAAAAGCAAGTACCGGTCAAGGCTGCAGCCAGAGGATGATCTGCGTTTATTCCTGCGAGCATCAAAGACGCAGACTCATTGTTCCCACTAAAGTAGGGGTGAGTGTAATAAGGAGGCAAAGTTGACGTTCAGTGTGTTGCCGGGAGCATATAAGCATATATATATCCACGATGTTGAAAATGTTAAAAATGTTAAAAGAAAATATGTGTTGAGAACACCGTGCGAAAATATACGGGTCGTGCTGCAGCTAGATTTGCCTGTCCTCTGTAAGAAGGTGTCGGCGACTGACATGCAAGGAAGAACGGCTGTCCACAGGCTGTTCCAACTTTAACAACTTTATTAACTTCCAAGGTAGTGAATTGAACATGCAATTGTAATTGGGTGTGCGGTATATTTTCAGGCACGCACACGCATGTTCCACAACACACAAACTGAACAACACTCAATTGTCCGATCACTACCAGTGTCCTTGCGATCTTGTAAGAACAAGTGTACGTTACTGATGCAATATGGTTGAGACCAGTCGGGCTTATTCTAGAGGGGTGCAAGGAATAGTCCGAGTAGTGGGGGAGTTTTATACAATATGTTTAAAACGTAAAGATACAAAGGTTTAAAAAAGTTATTGTTTAATGTTTTAAGGAGGGGACGCTACTCAGCCAATCAAATCGGTGCAGTCAGTGAGTCAGCACGATAGATTCAAACACACACAAGAGGAGAGAAACAGTCGGAGTAATTTCAAATGGCGAAAGGTAGACAGCGAAAACAGAGCATTTAATGACATTTAATGACATTTTCTCTTACTGGACCTCTTTGAAATGCAATTGAATACTCCTGCATTATAGCAACAACAACAATAATAATAATAATAATAATAATAATAGCAATAATAATTGGGAGGGGGGGCGCGACTGTTCTTATGTTCTCTGAGGGGAGGCTCACCTTCCCACACTTTGAAAACCCCTGGCCTAGAGGGTTAAACTGTAGAGGGAGCGCAG